GTTTGGATCAACTTCTTCATCATCTTTGTCAGATAACTCTTGTTTAATGCCATGGTAATATACGTTAGACCCATAATTTCATGGGACAACCTTCTCCGAGGAATATGGGATGGGCCCAGGTTTTGAAATGATTAAGGGAGGACCTTTTGGATTGGAAGTAATCCTTACAGGACCCTTGGAAGTGATCTTGAATGGAGTACCAAATATGACCGACAAATCTCGACACAAATTCTCAGTATGTGGAACTTTTTCAATCAAAACTACATGTTCATCAATCAAGCGTTGAATGCCTTTCTTCAGTAACCCATAACCATTGGATTGAACTACACAAAAATAACATTCTTTAACATAACTCAGAAATAAGACGGCTTATAGCAAATTCTTTTTTATTGTTGAGAGAGGAGTAACCATGTTACTTACAGAGGTAGCATACAAAACATCTTCAATAGAACTTATGCCTTTGTCATGCTTCAGCATAGAAGCAGTAATCACGTTCGGAGTCTCAGGAGGGTCGAACTCAATTTCTTTATTATCAATCATATCTTGAACTTTGTTTTTCAAGGCCCGACAATTGTTGGTGTCGTGCCTAGGACTGTTCGAATGATAGGCACACCTCACATTTCTGTTGTACTTCGGAGAGGATGTGTTGGGATTTGGAGGAGGATCCTAGAGTGTATGAGGTAAGCTTTTATCAAATGTTGTAATGCTTGAGCCAAAGGCATACTAATTCTAGTGAACTGTCTCCTCGGAGCGTCTGGCCTACGCTGATTTCCTTTTTGTTGTTGAATAGGCGCTGGATTAGAGATCAACACTTCTCCCATAGACTGATGGCAGTCATTTTTACTACGGATTTTCTGGCCATAGACAATGTTGGTTTCTTTCTTACCAATGAAGGGCTTCTTCACAGCATTAGAAGATGTAGCCATTGGAATCTTCCCGCTCTTGATGCCACTTTCAACTTGTTCGCCAGTCAGAATCAGCTCAAAGAATGGGGAACAAAGAATGGATGTTGTCGAACATATCATGGAACGTAAAGTTGTTGAGAGTTCCCCTGATTGAATAGTCGGATGCCCCGACCTGGTAACCATATTTGACGTTGGTATCATGATCTGAAAGGGAATTTATAGACAGTACTGAAGTACAGGGTCTAACCCAATAGTAAATGGGAACCATCTACTAATAAGATGTTCTAAGAACTCAATATTGTGTAGCACTCCATGGTTGAAAGCAATTCCATGACCTAGATTACCTGAGCCTTCAATCGATTATCTGCTTTCTCGGAGAATTCCTGACCACGGGCTAGAGCTTGCATGTATACCACAATCAACCCCATCGAGATCTTCGTATCAGTCAATCCCCCACGCTGTTATCCCATACTGATGTATGAACATGTGAAGCAAGAAATCAAGTTTGAACCTCTGAAGAGAGCACCGGGTTTGAATAAGAATCCCCAATCTTCGAATACCTGTTATGGATGCATGGATGTGCATGGGAGGCATGAATGGATGTCATGTCATGTTCCGTCATTTCCAAGGAATTACGTGCTTTAATTTTGATTTTATGCAGGTAAGGGATGGAAAAGTTCAACACAAGGCTTACAAATATGATTCCTTGAAAATAACAGAACATGTATGTTAAGTATGTGGTTAATCATGTTATGTATGAAAAGACATTGGATCAAAGTTCCGTCACTTCTGAATATGATTGTTGCACTGTTTCTGAACCATATGAATATTACCATATCAGAGGTCTGACATAGCTTTGGCACATACAAGAACTAAGTACTATGTAGATCATCAATTGTATGGGATCAAGGCTTCTGTAACACCTAATACTATTGAACCTTTTCTAAACATGTTGGGAATACTAAGATCGAAGGCCCGAATGAACCTCCAAATAAACAAGTCAAGAACTCAGAAAATAAATTTGAGAACCATAGGCACCAACAGAGCATATGGTCACCATCTGAACATAGTCACCATTTGAATAAGTCACCAACAGTACCAGTAATAATAATTCCCTCCCCGCTCACGGGTAAAATCTAGGTCAGGATAAGGCAAAGGTGACTTGGAATCACGGGTCCACCTGAAAGTACTACCGCCTTACCCACAGACGTGGGTGCTGATAGTAATTCATTTGAACCTCAACCAAGCGCAGACAACATGAATATGCTAGTGAGGACTTGCGTCCAATAGCCATCATGCTCCACTCCGTTCCTAGTGTCCTAGTGCACTCGGGCCTGGGTACTGGGCCTTTTACCTCATAGTAACACCCACCCAACAAGAAGCAGATCCAGTATAGTAGTAGTATATGGAAAATAGTAAAATGAAATGCATACATATGCTTAGGTATATACAAAATGAATAAGACATAAAGCATATAAATAAAAACCCAAAGAGAAGAGAACAAGAGCTAGGAGCAACTCCAGGATGGATCACCATTTGGTCGACCTTTCCCTAGTGAAGTCGCCAGCTGAAAGCACAAACTGAAAATCATCAAACAATGAAGTCACCATCGAACGTCTTTTATCCCACATGAAGGGAAAGGTAAACATCGAGAAAACCTGAGAAGGGAGAAGTCACGGTCTTGAGACTGAGATATCAGGTAAGGGAGTCTATTACGCGAGGGGAAGGTATTAGCACCCCATACGCCCGTAGTACTCTACGGTATCCACTCTTATTATCTATCTTATGGGTGTGTTTAATCTATGCTTACTATACTACTGAGGAAGAATTCATGCAAACAGAAAAGAAAATAATGTAGGGAAAATAAATTTGTGCTCACTTGGGCCCTACCCCAATGCCTATGTATCCTTTTTGAGGAATCAGAGTTACCGTAGTTTGGCTCACATGTTTTGTTTGTTTTGTGTTTTTTATGAACAATGCTAATTCCGCCTTCTACGGCAGCTCGACCTTTGGAGACTCACGCATTGGCACAGAAGTAAATTAATCATGTCCTTGCTTGAAAATGGTTTTGAGTTACGCCCTCAAGGCAAGATACCATATTTAATTGGTTTATGTTTTGTTACCTTGAAAAAGGGTTTAAGTGTGATTAGCATGTCTTATGATTTTCTAATAAAAAGAAGGTTTAGCTTTAGATTCATATGCAAAAGGGGAAGAAAAGAGTCTAAGGGAGACTAGCCTATTTCTAATCCTAATGTTATCATACAATGGTGATCCTAAGGTTTGGATTAACAAAAGGGAAATGTCTAATTAATGTTAGCATGCATGGTTTGTGACCTAAGGTCTAACTTGCATCCGAAAGGAGCAAGCACGTCCTAAGGGAACATGGTATGTACAAGGATAAAACAAACAAGCTCGAAAGAGCACACACATAAAATGGTAAGGAAAATAAGCGAAATGCTTTAGTCAAGGGAAGCATAGACAAACAAGCAGGAGTAGGATGTAAAACAAAAATATGATGTTCAAAGCGACTGAATATCTAACCAAGATATAGGAGATCGAGGTAGGTGACATAAGGAAATATGAACGATCACGGAGTATCAGCATCGGCCAATGCGAACTCCTGAAAAAGCATGGGGGTTTGATTTCAAAACCCTTCCCCACTTGACGATTTGATAATAAGAGCAGACACAACTCCGAAGCATCATGGTGCGTCACGAGCTAAGGATGACACAGAAAAAATTGTGAGGGTTGATTGCGAACCCTCCCCACTCGCCTCTTTTTAAGGACTTATTATTTGTAACATATGAGGGCATAAATATAAATACACATGCAGAATACCTACTTCAAAGGTAGGGTTTTAAACAACCACAAATAGCAAACAAAATGCATACAATGCGGAATTGCCCTAAACGGGTCTTTAAATAAACCAAAGGGACTCCTGACATGATCAACAACGGAGATCCCAATCATACATCTCTACCCTACTTCTCATGGAATCATAAATCAGTAAAGCCCTACTTCTCATGATCTCTAGAAAAGCGGTAAAGAAATGCAATAAAGTGTGGAGAAATACAAAGGTAGTAGTGGCGACTACCACAAGCCAATCTTCGAAAGCAAACGAAAGCGATGGAGAAGCAAGGAGTACGCGTTGAGCAAGCTTCACCAATAAACAAACAAAGTCAGAAATGATATCCAACTAAGATAAAAGCAAACGTGTGTTGTGAATGCAACGCATAATCAAAAGTTCCTGCACAAAGCATCATAAAATATTACATGCATCAGGATAACATATAATACAATATGAATTTCTCAAGACGATGAGAAATAAGGTGTGTCGCATCAGAAGCGAACATAATCCATATGCTTAGATCATATAACAACTTGTTATGTTACATCATCGAAAGCAAAAAAAAAAGTACCTTGCACAATGAACAAACACGTCAAAAATAACGAATTCACGACAATATAAAAATATGAATAAAAACTAAAACAAAAAAGTATCTTTTATTAATTTTTTATGTGAGGTAAACTATAAAAAAAACTAAAGAATTAAATCCTAAAAACTTTCTATTATATTCTACTATCTTTTTATTGTTTTTATTACAATTTTGTTCTAGCAAAAGTATAGAAAAAAATTAAAGGAAGTCCTAAATTCTACAAAGAGTTTGAAGCATCGGGGGGTGCAAAGCTGGGTCCAGTGGTGTATTGCAGTAGATATGCGCTAGGCCCAGTTAATAGAGCCCAATGCTGTTTTCTAATACAATGTTAACAGGCTCCCCCAAAATGGTGTAACAGGCCTACATGGGGTGCAGGAAGCACGAGGCCTTAGGCCCATTAAGGGTCCAGGATATTTTTCCAGCAAGGCAATCATGTAAAAAAATAGAAATGGGCCTAAGAATTAAATTCCGGTCCATGGTCCAAAATACAGCAGGTTCAGTCCATCTTTATTCTTATTCAACATATTAAGGAAAAAACAAATAATAAAAAGAATTAAACTAAAAACAATTTAAAATGGATTAGGGTTACAGTGTATGACGTTCAGCTTCTCTGAGAATTCGATTTTCTTCCTCTTCGAAACATAATGGAGTTCCTCCTTCAATGGCGCGTCGCTCGTCTTATTCTCTTTCGATTCAACCTCATTGTGAACCGCCAGCATCTTAATGTCTCTGTTTGACCTTCAGATTCCTCTAAACTCTCCTCAAATTCAATTTTTGTCTCTGCTTCTACTGTGAATCGTTTCAAAAGATGGAACCTAAAGGCGACTGGAGAAAAGAAGGCACCTGATTCACGCTATCAAGGAGAAGGAAATTCTGAGGATAAATTCCGATATCGCTTCAATTTCATGCTTCTTCGATTTTATTCTTCTTAACCAGAATTGGTTACGGTGGAGACACCACCACCAACCTTCATCCATTTCTCGGTCTGTCTCAATCTCTCAAAAACATCGATAGAACCTTCATCTCTCCCTCTTACAGACTTCATCTTCTAAGAGCTTACGACTATGAATATTCCCTTAATCCTCACCCGCAGTTTTATCGGATGCAAATTAGAGCGATAAAGTGAACTTAAGGAGGTGCAGATTCGAGCGAACAGTGAGCATCAAAGGCATTGAATGAAACCTGTTTGAAGCGGTGTAGCAGTGAACTATGGCAAGGGGTTAGATGTAAGCTATATACTTCCTTCCTCTTTTTTCGTTTTTTGATTCTTTGCTCTTCTTGTTCTTCATATTCTCTTTCTAGTTTTGATTCTGAGTTTCCGACACATCACGATTGCAGATCCGACGTTGGTGTTGTGAGATCGGTTGTATTGTTGTAAAAGTGGTGTAGAATGTTGATGAGAATACACTAAAGATGACTTAGATTGAAGTCATTATGCACTGAGAAATTTGAAGGTGAACACATAGAATTGATGTTTGAAGATTGAAGAAGATGCTGCAAATTATTGGAGGTTGAAGCAGAGGGGAAACATAGAATAATTTAGAGGTGATTTTTTATGTTGAAGCTTTTTCTGTGAACTCTCAATGAATGAATTGTGAATTCCTTCCCTCTCTTTTCCCTTTTCTGTTATACTCTGTTGGGAGTTTTTGAAAACAGTTAGGAAGTTACAGGAGTTAGTTGGGGAAGAGGTTGGAAGAGTTTTGATTTGGTTATGAAATGGAGGGTCAAATTAAGAGTTGGTTATAGAGTGAAAATTTTGTTATCTTCCTGTTATTAACTGTTAGAGATTAGGAAGTTGGTTAGAAAGTTTAGTTAGGGGTTAGAAAGTTGGTTAAGATTTTGTTAACATGTAGGAATCGGTTGAAAATCTGTTTTTTGTTTTGTTATTTCTGTTATAGTTGTTTCAGAATGGAGAAAAGTTAGTTAGGAGTTAAATTGGGTTCTTCTGCTGTTGTAAGCTAAAATTCCAAATATGAATGAACATTGAGTTAGCAAAAATTTTGGTAAAAGGGAAAGCACTGTTAGAAACAAATGCTGGTTGTTAGTACTTGTTTTGTTTGTCAATGTGCACTTTTCAACTGGTTTTCTTTATTGAACTTGGAATATTATTGTGAACTGATTGTGTAGGCAATGGATATCTTTGATTAATTGTTTGACTTGAATAACTGTAGGGCCAGGTTTTGACGTGTTTGGCTGGTTTCATGATGTTGATTGGTTTTGGACCGTTTGGTGTTTGTGTTTGGTTAGTAATATCGTTTCTGATTTTCTATTTAGAGTTGAGGCCATCTTTATTCTTCATGTGCAGGATTTTGGTTTGTAGTAGCATATTTGCGAATTGTTTGGACTGCAGGACGATAGGGCAGCTAAGAGAATGAATGGTTAACTATTTTTTTCTAAATGCGGGTTTTGTTGATGTGCAGCAGGGCTGAAATGGTTTAGCGATAGCTCTTGAGCATGAAAGTGAAGAATGAAACAGGGGAAGAGATAAGGCATGCAGAGTGATCCTTGGAGTTTTAAGAATAATAGTTAGGACAAGGCGTTGTGCAACTTTAGTAGCTTAGGACCTTAGGAATTTTGTGTAGTTATTTCTTTGGAATGTAATATGAATTTGTCATGGTTGCAAATGTAAATGAATTTAGCTTTCGTAATGTCTTGTAGCGGGATTTGAAATGCATATAATTTTACTTGGATGAAATTTGTAAGGACCCCGAATGGATTTAAATGTATATGGATGATTCTTGATTTTTGAAACTTGAGTGAATATTCGTAGTGAACAGGAACTTGAATGAAGTTGAATAGCTTTTATAATGAAATGATTAAGTTTTGAACATGATGAATAAGGTGAAGACGATTATGATGAATGAATGCCTTGAACTTGTACTTCATTACTTAAATCTTGAGAAATATGAATGCATTTCCTTTCCAACCTTGCAAATTCTCAACAAATTTGATGAATTGAACCAAGTTTGAATCCATGGAATCATTCAAATCCACTTCAACCTTAATTCAAATTAGCTCGCCTGACAAGCAACAAACAATTTGAGAGAATGATGCCTTGATTATGATCCACGTCTTGTACCATGTCTCGATTGTATGGGAAATAGAATAACAATGCCTTGGATCCTTGAAGAAGTTATTCAAGATGAATTTGAACTTAGACCCTAGCTCACTTAGTCTTTACATAAACCTTTAGTGAAACCCTAATGATCCTGCCCTTGATGAAGATGACAACCTTGCAGCTTAATGATAAAAAGAAGTTCTTAATGACCATGAACACAAAACCCTAGCTTCACACCACAATTATTGAATAAACCAGTTGATTCCAGCTTGAATGAAGATGAGAGCCTAAAAGAATAAATAAACCATAATTCCTTAATATCCTTGATCCTATGCAATTATTGATTAATGATGCATGATGTTGTTAAATGTCCTAATGGATGGTATATATAATGTTGAAAATGAGATGCATAAGCCATATGATTTAATGAAAGGGTAGGACAAACTTGGGGTATTACACCGTTGTGTATGCCGAAATACGAAAGAATTCATCCATGCTAAGTGCACCTTGAAGGATATTAATTGTTTTCTTGTTATAAATTATTTTTTTTTATCATCTTCATTCCATGAACCTTTAGGCTTTGACGTACCAACACCGTTGACAACACTTATAGGAACAAATGGACTATTTTGGACAACATCTCATATTTCTTCTCCTTGTGCTTCTAAATGATCCTTCATGCGAATTTTCCAAAAATTAAAGTATTCACCACAAAACAATGGAGGCTTATTATTACTACCACCATCTCAAAAAACTGGATTTTGATTTGCGAAAGCCATTCTAGATCTTTAGAAGAATCTTACCTATAACCTGCTTTGATGCCAATTGTAAGTGATGAGTGCGCCTAAGAGGGGGGTGAATTAGGACTTAAAAAATTTATCCAGATTTAGAAACAAGTTGTTCTTATTTTTGGTTTGATGTTTAAGTGTTTAGAAAAGTGTTTCTTTCTTTTCTGGTTATGTTTTAAGATGAAAGCGGTAAATACAGAAAAGTAAAGAACACAATGATGTATCCTGGTTCCCCTTACAGTCCGAGAGTACTCCAGACCCTTTTCAATATGAAAGATATTTCATTATTTTTAGATCTCTAGACAAGACAACCTATTCTATACAAGACTCTAACCAATAAAACCACCAAGAACAATAATCTTGTATTTTTAGTAAGTACACTAAGAGAAAAATCATCACTTAATGACTCTCTTACTTCTAACAATCATGGACAACAATATACAACCAAACAAGTATAATAAGAAAACAATCATTTCCTTTCTACTCTCTTGTTTCCAACAATTTTAGACAACAAGGAATTTACAACCAAATATGGAAAAAATTAAGTAACAAGTTAATGAATATATATCAATAACAATGATTGATCTTATCTTCCAAAAAAGAAATATATAAATATATATTAATTCTCAATTGTTTACTAATAATGAAAGAATTTTTCTAAAATGATATGAAGAACACATGTAGAAAATTCTCAATGAAAGTTGAAATATCAAAACACTTGTTTCTGAAAATGAATGAATATAATGATGTTAATTGCAATGGAAGAGGTGAAATGAAATTTTAAATTTTATGTATTTATATAAGTATAACACCTCTATGAAACATGGTAAAGTTATGCAAAAATATCATGAACAACTGTCAAGTTAAAATGACATAGTTTTATGAAAAGATGCATGAAAAGGTGTTAAAAAATATTGTTTTTTCAAATTCGTACAGGACTTGTTAAGTCAGTTTTAACAGATACCTGACTTAACAAATGCATAGCATTATTTTTGAATTTCAAAAAATAAAATACTTCTTCAGAATGTTGTAAATTAGGTCGGTTTTTAAGCTGTTATGGCGGGTCAAAATCCATAATTTACAAAAAATTAAATGTTTGAGAAAATTAAAAAATTGTCTAAATTTTTGAACCAATCTTATGCAACATCTATTGATTTATGCAAGTCAATAGATTATATTTGAAAGTGATTTAACATGGTTCAAACATGAAAATAAATTTTCAAATGTATGATAAAAATATATTTTGTTTTAAAACTAGAAATAGTGAGATATTTTCAACCAAATGAACCATGCATGCAAGTGAATTTTGGAAATTATTTTGATCACTATTTATTAATATATATTTCATGATTATACCTCAATAAATTAAGATAAATGCAAGTATTTATAATGTTGCAATCTTGATCCATAGCCACATTGCTTCACGATGCTTTTTCTCATCCTTTGATAAATGCACATAGTAGTTGTCTTTATCAAAACATGATGTTGAAGAAACTTGACTTCACAATCTCCCCCTTTTTGATGATGACAACTATTGAAAGTTGATATGCTTGAATCTTTTAGAATGAATGAGAAACTCTAATGTGAATGCCCCCTATATTTGATAACTCCCCCTTAATCATAGCTCCCTCTTGAATCATAAAGAATCACACACACACACACACACGCACGCACGCACGCACGCACGCACGCACGCACGCACGCACGCACGCACGCACGCACGCACGCACGCACGCACGCACGCACGCACGCACACACACACACACACACACACACACACACACACACACACACACACACACACACACACACACACACACACACACACACACACACACACACACACACACACACACATATATATATATATATATATCTTCTCCCCCTTTGTCATTATCAAAAAGGATGAGAAAATCCTTATAATACATAAAGAAATTATTGAAAGTAAAAACAATTTATACCATTGATTTTCACCTCAAGAGTGACTTCATCAAACATTCATATTTTGTGGACACAATGTTGAAAGTTAGTGCGCCAACTTTGCTAATACCAAAAATTCTTCTTTTAAGGTATTCCACGTATGTGAAATAATCCTTGAACTTTTGAACTAGATTTGAAAGTTAGTATATATCTCTCATCAAATGCATAGAACCACCACTTATCAAAACATCATAGACTTTAAGTGGTCCTCAAGCAAAC